AAGAAGGAAACATTCTAAAAGACATTCTCGTGTAGGTTATGAGCATATCGGGAAAATATCGAGAATGGACTAAGTGGGAGATGAAAAATTAAATAATCCTAAGAATAATTGCAGATATCGAGCCAACAAATAGAAGCGAATTGACTGAGATGCACAAAAAATCACAAAAGAAAGACCAATTTATTCTTCAGGCGGATAAGGGAGGAGCGACAGCGGTAATGGACAGGAATCAGAACACAGAGAAAATGGTAGCTATCTTAGGCGACTGGAACACTTATCAAATACTAAGGAAGAATTCAACCATAAAGATCACCGGGAGACTGAAGAATATGCTAAAGGAAATGCATAATAGTGGAGAAGTCGACAGATGGATGATAAATTCCTTAATTAAAAAGGACGCAAGACCCCCGACAGTCTACGGAATACCGAAGCTACGCAAGGAAAACCTGCAAGAAAACAAAACAAACAAAACAAAACAAGCATAGAGCAACACACAAGCTAGTAAAATTCATCTGTTTGAAGCACAAGAAAATACACCCTGAAAAATTCATATGAATTCTTTCAAAGGATCCAAAACATTAGGCTGGAGACAGAATTGCTGCTAAGTCTTAAAGTATAATCCATGTACATGAACATGTCCGGCGGGAAGGCGATAAGCGCCCTACTGAAGATCTCGGAACGAAAAGAGGATATCCTGGAGACAGAGTCGATACAGGAGTTGTAAACACGACGAACAATTTTACATTTAACGGCAATATTATATACGCAAATATTTGGACTATCCATGAGATCTCTCCTCTCACCTCTTGGCAAATATATGCATGGCCAAAGCGGAAAGAAAATTCGAGAGGTCCCCGTTGCAACCAAGAGTGCTTGTGATACCTGGATGACTACTTTGCTCTTTGGTCACATTGTAAGGAAAATTTGGATGAATTCCTCTACTTTATGAACCAACTTGATGAACGAATTAAATTCACAATGGAGGTGGAGGAAAAGGAGCAACTATCTTTTCTGGATAGTTATATCATTCGCTCTAACGGGATACTTAAAAAGAGACTGTTCAGAAAGAAATCATATGCGGGAACAATCCTCAATTTAGAATATCATTATAATTGCAGGCGAAAGATCGGAATAATAAGGAGTTTGATTAGCAGAAGTTAAAGATTAACGAAAACTAAGTTCTGGGACGAGAAGCTGGAAAAACTGACTCGGATCTCCCTTAGTAGCGGTTAATCCCAAAGAATTTATATAAAGAAATATAAGGGTCATAAAGAGCAAATTTCAACTTGTATTTTAGAAAAATAAGACCAGAATTCGGGAGTACGACCATAAGTGAATAGACCTCCTCTCCTGTGAGCTGAGCCAAAAATTGCTACCATTACTAAGACAATGGAATATTAAGGTGATAACAAAGGAAAAGTCAACACTCTTCCCCAGTCTTCTGACGCCACACGAGAAGCTTGACAAACTGGATTGCTCGGGAGTTTATCGTATAAAGTGCAGCAACTATGGGCAGCAGTATATTGATGAAAAATGAAGAAAAATCAGCCTATGAATCAAGGAATACCAAAGATTCTGCAAAAATATAGATATGGAAAGATCCGAAATAGCGGAACACATTGCACGGACGGGAGACAAAATAGACTGGAAATTGGCAGAAATTCTGGCTGAATATGGTGAAAATACGAGAAAACGCAAGATCCAAGAGGATCTACTTCATTTGTCTCTTTGACGAGTTGTAGTGTGGTGCTTTGAGGGTCAAGGCTCACTGCGACGCAGGGTAAAAGTATGGAAATGTACCAAGTCCATGGTCCGACTGGAAATTATCATGCATTCTATGGACTCCGGACAAGGTGCGCTCCGCTAAGTCTTCATGCCAATTTGACCAAGTTTCGAAAACAAGGTTAAACAACTTATAAAAATTGTTCACGCTATAGCACTCAATTGAATGTACACATAAAACACCAAAAAAAACAGTAATAAAATTTGATCCAGCTAACCTGTGGAGACGCACACAATAGGTCGACACAAGCTAATCGCCCAGCAATAGCTTTTAAATTGTTCGTTTGTCTTCCTGATGCTAAATTAATAAGGCTCGTCTCAAGATCGCGAGAAAGGTTAAAGTATCCTGAGGCAACCGAGAGACTCCAGTTAAAGTCTTTCCACAGAGGAAAGAGGACGTTATGGGACTTGCTCGCCACGAAATCCAATACACGACTAAGGATGACATGATCTTGATGGATGTGAAAGGCACCCATCTGAACGCTAGGGAATAGAAGAGTGTCTGTGGAGCTGCGCATGAAATTACTTTTTCTGGCAGTTGTGAGGGCTTCGTCAAGAGGAGCATTATTATGGCTAAGAGAGCTGGAGGTGGATGCAGGAATGATGGTAGAGGTATGAATAGTGTCAGAACTGCTGAGAACGTGTGAAGTAGGCCTCTGAGTAATGTTTGAAGAAAGAACAGAAGTAGATAAATCAAGAAGTGTGGTCGAAAAAGCGCCATCTTCTGTCAAAGTGAGATTGACAGCCTCTGGCTTAGCAGAGGTGGCTAATATAGGCTTCATTATATGAGAAGAGCAAGGATGTAAATGGTACTGGGCATCAAGATAGCTCTTGATACGAGACTTGAACAGCGTAGAATAAGCAGTTTTGTCACCTGACCATTGCATGAGTGTAAAGACAAAGAAGTGGGGAATATTTAATATAAAAAGTGACTCCAATCTAACTCATTCCATTATATTCAAAGCTAATTCAGTCGACTCCAAAATACTACATTCTCCATCGCACAACTACATATCCAACCCCAGCAAATTCTATAATTAAAAATTATTTATATTATCCAGAATAAGTACACTTAGAATTCCTAGTAATATGATTCTAATTTACTTTTTTCAACTGTTCTCTGCTCAAGCCTCAGCCAATTTCAAATTATTCTATTCCAATATTCCATGACTTGCTGTGAGTGACTCAATTCCAATATATTTTACTTTTTCCCAAACTACTTTATCCTAATGAGATGTATTCACCCTATTTCGTGTAAGGTGATGAAGGACTGGTAGTAGAATTTTCCCAC